GGGAAATTTTTAAAAAATAATTTTTTTCCAATAGAAAAAATGTTCACCAATGAACTTTTTTCCATAGAAAATATGTTCACCAATGAACTTTTTTCTATAGAAAAAATGTTCACCAATGAACTTTTTTCCATAGAAAAAATGTTCACCAATGAACTTTTTTCCATAGAAAAAATGTTCACCAATGAACTTTTTTCCATAGAAAAAATGTTCACCAATGATCTTTTTTCCATAGAAAAAATGTTCACCAATGAACTTTTTTCCATAGAAAAAATGTTCACCAATGAACTTTTTTCCATAGAAAAAATGTTCACCAATGAACTTTTTTCCATAGAAAAAATGTTCACCAATGAACTTTTTTCCATAGAAAAAATGTTCACCAATGAACTTTTTTCCATAGAAAAAATGTTCACCAATGAACTTTTTTCCATAAAAAAAAATATTCACCAATGAACTTTTTTCTATAGAAAAAATGTTCACCAATGAACTTTTTTCTATAGAAAAAATGTTCACCAATGAACTTTTTTTCTATAGAAAAAATGTTCACCAATGAACTTTTTTCTATCGAAAAAATTTTCACCAATGAACTTTTTTCTATCGAAAAAATTTTCACCAATGAACTTTTTTCTATCGAAAAAATTTTCACCAATGAAATTTTTTCTATCGAAAAAAGGTTCACCAATGAACTTTTTTCTGTCGAAAAAATGTTCACCAATTAACTTTTTTCTGTCGAAAAAATGTTCACCAATGAACTTTTTTCTATCGAAAAAGAAAAATGTTCACCAATGAACTTTTTTCTATGAAAAAAAATGTTCACCAATGAACTTTTTTTCTATCGAAAAAATGTTCACCAATGAACTTTTTTCTATCGAAAAAGAAAAATGTTCACCAATGAACTTTTTCTATGAAAAAAAATGTTCACCAATGAACTTTTTTCTATGAAAAAAAATGTTCACCAATGAACTTTTTTCTATGAAAAAAAATTTTCACCAATGAACTTTTTTCTATGAAAAAAAAATTTTTCACCAATGAACTTTTTTCTATGAAAAAAAAATGTTCAACAATGAACTTTTTTCTATGAAAAAAAAAATGTTCACCAATGAACTTTTTTTTATGAAAAAAAAATGTTCACCAATGAACTTTTTTCTATAAAAAAAAATGTTCACCAATGAATTTTTTTCTATGAAAAAAAATGTTCGCCAATGAACTTTTTTCTATGAAAAAAAATTCACCAATAATTTTTTCTATGGAAAAAAATTCAACAATCAATTTTTTATGGAAAAAAGTAATTTCTTTGTCATGGTAAAAGTGCACCAATGATTTTTTTCTATGGAAAAAAGTTCACCAATAATTTTTTCTATGAAAAAAATTCCCCAATGATTTGTCTATGGAAAAAATTTACCAATCAATTTTTTATGGAAAAAAGTTCGGCAAAGAATTTTTTCTCTGGAAAAACTTCATACAATGATTTTTTTTCTAAACAACAACTCATTTATAAAAAATATATTCACCAACAAATATTTGTTTGTTTTTTAAACATAAATATATTCCTCTTCCTTCAGCAATTTTAAGAATGATAAATTTGTACCTTAATTCTTCCGTTTCTTTAATCTCTTTAAGGTTCACCAATGAACTTTTTTCTGTCGAAAAAATGTTCACCAATGAACTTTTTTCTATGAAAAAAAAAATGTTCACCAATGAACTTTTTTCTATCGAAAAAAAAATTTTCACCAATGAACTTTTTTCTATGAAAAAAAAGATGTTCACCAATGAACTTTTTTCTATGAAAAAAATTTTTCACCCATGAACTTTTTTCTATGAAAAAAAAATGTTCACCAATGAACTTTTTTCTATGAAAAAAAAATGTTCACCAATGAACTTTTTTTTATGAAAAAAGAAATGTTCACCAATGAACTTTTTTCTATGAAAAAAAATGTTCACCAATGAATTTTTTTCTATGAAAAAAAATGTTCGCCAATGAACTTTTTTCTATGAAAAAAAATGTTCGCCAATGAACTTTTTTCTATGAAAAAAAATGTTCACCAATGAACTTTTTTCTATGAAAAAAAAATTCACCAATAATTTTTTCTATGGAAAAAAATTCAACAATCAATTTTTTATGGAAAAAAGTAATTTTTTTGTCATGGTAAAAGTGCACCAATGATTTTTTTCTATGGAAAAAAGTTCACCAATAATTTTTTCTATGAAAAAAAAAATTCCCCAATGATTTGTCTATGGAAAAAAATCACCAATCAATTTTTTATGGAAAAAAGTTCGGCAAAGAATTTTTTCTCTGGAAAAACTTCATACAATGATTTTTTTTCTAAACAACAACTCATTTATAAAAAATATATTCACCAACAAATATTTGTTTGTTTTTTAAACATAAATATATTCCTCTTCCTTCAGCAATTTTAAGAATGATAAATTTGTACCTTATTTCTTCCGTTTCTTTAATCTCAAAACGATAAATTCTTTACGCTTTGATATGATTGTTCCCATTGCCACCATAAATTGAAGAAGAAAAAAATATTATCTCATGTCCTGCTTTCCCTTGAAACGCCTTCATGCCAGTTTTACACCCACATTAAAATTGTCTTACCTAAGGGTACAATTGGCCCTTCTCTCAAGCAGCAGAGCACAGTTGTTTTGCCAAAAATGTTACTTTGGGTCATATATATTTTTTAACAAAATTCGTTGAGATTCGTTGTTGTTGTTTTTGCAATTTTGCTGAGCAAGGGATAATTGCCATTTAATGGGATGTGAATTAATTCCATAGAAAATGTTATGTTTTTATTAGACAGAATGAAAATGTTGCCCTCTCCCTTCTAAAGTAAAAAAGGATAAGGGTTAGTTTTTATGAAAAAAAAAAACACAAAAAAATATTACAACAATTTGTGTGTCGTCTTTGTAACTTATTAAATTTGAATAAATAAACAAAGGGTTCTTTTTATGACAGGAGGACGAAAGGGTTTAGATTTTTTTTTGTTCTTTGTTGGGAAAAATTCATTAGAAAATTGTAGCGCTTCTCAATAAGATGTATTACAATTTTTATAGCATATCTTCAGGGGTTTTTTCCCCCAACAAAAATCGGATAAATAATTTTGGCACTTTGGAATGCAAAATATCCTTAAATAAATAAAAATAATATTTCAAGCCATTTTTTAGATTTGTATAACAGTTTTTCGCTTAGTATAACAGTTTGGAAAACTGTTATACGTTGCAAAAAAAATGTATATTTATGAAATAAAAACAATAAAGCAATTTTTACGATTTGTATAACAGTTATTTTCGTTTATGTATAACAATTTTATAACTGTTATACTCAAGTAGAAATCATATAAAATGTATTTAAATACAAAAAATTAATATTTCTAAGACCTCACAGTCTATGGGAAAGTATTCTATGGTCTATTAACATATTTTATTGTTTTAATTTAAAATTCATTGGAAAATTGAACCGCTTCTCAAAAAGATGTATTACAACTTTTATAGCATATCTTCGGGGGTTTTCCCCCCAAAGAAAATCGACAAAATAATTTTGATGGCATGCAAAATATTCTTAAATAAATAAAAAAACATTTTTAATTTTGTATAACAGTTTTTCGTTAAGTATAACAGTTTGGAAAACTGTTATACGTAGCAAAAAATAGTATATTTATGAAATAAAAACAATAAAGCGATGTTTGCAATCTACAAAACAGTTCTTTCCGCTTATGTATAACAGTTTTGTAACTGTTATACTCACGTAAAAATTATATAAAATGTTTTTAATGCAAAAAAATGAACGTTTTAAAGTCCTCAAAGTCTATTCGGAAGTATTATATGGTCTCTTAACATATTTTATTTTCTAAATCCCCATAATAATCTCAGAAAATGGAAAGAAAGAAATTTTTAAATAAAAAACTGTTATACAAATTGATAGCAGATATTAATAAATAAATAAAAAAAATAACAACAATAAAATAGTATTTTAGAACTGTATAACAGTTTTATTGGGTGTGTGTATAAAAAACTGACAGACTGCGGAAAAAATATTGGTCCTTCAAATAAATAAATTAAATATCATTTTAATGAAATTTTTAGAAATTTAAAATAAAATTTTTCAAAATTTTATTTTCTAAATGAAAATTTTTAAATGAAAATTTTCAAAATCTAATTTTTTAAATGACATTTTTTAAAAATTCAGTCCATGATTTTTTGTATTATTTAAAATTTTTATTTATTTTTATATTAAAATTGAGTTTCATAACTGTTAAAACTTAAAAAAAAACTGACAGACTGCGGGAAAAATACGCTTTAATGTTTATTAGTCCTTAAATTAAATATTTTAGTGTAGTTTTTACAAATTTAATTTAAAATAAAATGTTTCAAAATTCAATTTTTTCATTTAAATATTTCAAAATGAATTAATTTTTTAAAAGAATTTTTTTATTTTTTTAAATGGAAATTGAGTTTCATGTTATACAAAGGGATAAAGTTGCTTAAAACTTAAAAAAACTGACAGGCTGGGGAAGAAATATGCTTTAATGTTTATTAGTCCTTGTAAGAAATAAATTAAATATAATTTTTAATGAATTTTTCAAAATTTAATTTTTAAATAAATCTTTTCAAAATTTAATTTTCTAAATAAAATTTTTAAAATTTTAATTTTTAAATACAATTTTTAATTTTTTAAATAAAATTTTCTAAATTTAAGTTTTAAATAAAATTTTTCAAAATTTAACTTTTTAAATAAAAATTTTATAAATTTAATTTTTAAATGAAATTTTTTAATTTTTTAAATTAAATTTTTAAATAATTCAATCCATGATTTTATTTTTTTTATTAAATTTACGGCCTAAAAGTATGCTTTAAAAATGTCAACATGGTGCAATTTACCCTCACTCCTTTTATTGATCTCATCCTTTTCAAGGAGTGTCTAAAAGTATGCTTTAAAGTAATTCGTTCTTTTTTATCTTTTTTGGCCTAAGTCTCACATTTTTTCTCAATTTTATTTCCAGATTACGAGCCGGCTGGAACAGTTCCCAAGTCCATGAACCTCTACGCCCCGAAGAGCAAGCCGCCATTATATCTGTCATCCAGCGCAATGAAGAAATTGAAAGTGCCGAGCGGCAAAGGGTCGGACGCCTGGTGGATCGTGTGGAAAAAATCAAATCTCGTGCCGTAGAAAAAGGTCCGAATTGTTGTCGACTGTGTGGTGATGCTTTCGGTCTACTGCGGGCCCAACGCATCATCTGTGAGGATTGTAAAAAGTCCGTGTGTCCCAAATGTAGCCTCGATATAAGTATACGCTACCACACGGTGGAGAAAACCAAAGAGATATGGCTGTGTCGGATTTGTTCCGAGACACGGGAGATGTGGAAAAAATCGGGTGCATGGTTTTTTAAAGGTCTTCCAAGGTATGAAATACCACCAGGCTCAACGACATCAACCCCGACCCGACACAGCGCATCATCGATGGCCACCGAGGCATTGATGGCCCAGCGTAGGGCTCTCAGTTGCCAGACAACTCCCACGAGAAATGTGCGAGTGAAAAAACTCACAATAAGGGTATGTGATTCCAGCAGTTCCGAGGAAGAAGAAGAGGAGGAGGAGGGAGGGGCAAATAAATCCAAAGATGAGTTGGATGGTGGTGGGGTGGGCAATGCCATGAATCAATTGGCCATAGGCGGCTCCAGCAGCAACATGAGTGTTAGCCCCTCGGCCAGTAGTGATATCAGCCCAAGTAAGCTGCAACGGGAGGATAGCTTTCGCATGCGAACCTTTGGTTCCATACGCAGTTTTATTGATGGCTCTGGGGGAGAACGAAGACTTTCGAATGCTTTCTTTTTCAACAATCGCTCAAATTCCCGTTGCGAAGGTAATGGCCAGCAGGAATATGATAACATATCGACGGTATCCACAGTATTAACGACGGCCTCACAGGGTTCGGCAACACGCCGGGAAAGTGGAAATTACAATACCAGTAATAGGAGGAGCTCTGTTTCTTCTTCTTGGTCTGTGAGTGATAGCTCATCGGGCACTTCGGGTACCACCGGATCCATAAATCACCACAGCCACCAGCAAGTAAATGCCCATTGTCGGGATCCTTTGCTGGGTTGGTTGGAGGTTTCCATATGCTATCGAGAAAATGATCATGCCTTGGATGCGTGTGTGGTAAGGGCCCGGGATTTGCCACCCATGGATCCGTTAGGTCTGACGGATCCTTATTGTAAGTTGAATATTGTGACGGCCGAGGGCAAGCCCAAATATTTGAGATGGCAAAAGACCAAGTGTGTACACAAAACCAGAAATCCAGAATTCAATGATACCCTGCAGTTTGTGGGCGTGGAACCAGATGAATTGGGTAATGCTTTGCTGTATGTGGCCATTTTCGATGAGGATAAATATGGACATGATTTTTTGGGTGCTGCCAAGATTTGTTTGTCGACGGTAAGTTGGGTTTTGGGAAATGGGTCCTCTTCTGATTTTAAATTTGGATATTTCCAGGTACACAATACCAATCTCTATAGGATATCCGTGCCGCTGGGTCCCGAGGATCAATATAGCAATGCTGCAGAGATGTCCCAGGAGTGGCCACATGGAAAAATGTTGATTTCGCTTTGCTACAACACCAAGAAACGGGCCCTGACGGTGAATGTGAAACAATGCATTGATTTGATACCCATGGATAATAATGGCTCCTCGGATCCTTTTGTGAAAATGTAAGGTTCAAATGGGAAATTCCTGTAAAGATATTTGTTAAAACAAAAATTAAAAAAAAGTCCATTGAATCTATGATGAAGTATTTTTTCACGCCTAAAAGCATGCTTCATTTTCTTTCTCCATTTTTTTTGCAGTCAAATGAAACCCGATTCCCATCGCAACAAAAAATACAAAACCAGTGTCAAATGGCGAACTCTTAATCCCATCTACAATGAAGAATTCCACTTCGAAGCCGGTCCCCATGATCTGAACAAACAGTCACTGGTCTTGACGGTGTGGGACAAAGATTTGGGCAAAAGTAATGACTTCCTGGGCAGTTTGGTGATCGGGCACAACAGCAAAGGCGAAAGACTGCAACAGTGGTTGGATTGTATACGTTTGCCGGATCATTATCATGAGAAATGGCACTGCTTGGCGGGTGATAATCCGCTGCATTAGATGAAGCGAGAAAATGAGGAGAATGATGAGGGATTTGATGGAACAACCAAAAGCCAATTGAATTGAAGCATTTAGCGCGATCTAATCAAATTGATGTCTTTCATTCCATATTTAAGTTGTTTTTTTTTTGTTTTCTTTTTCAAAATCGAACTTTTTTAAGTGTCCTTAAAAGGCTTTAGTTAAAAAAAAAAATATTTAAAAAAAAACTAAAAATGAACAACAACAGCAACAGGAACTATCTTATATATTAAAAAAAATAATATTTCAAATAAACTTCCAAGGAAATAAATTTACAAAAAAAAAAAAAACATATTGAATTTTAATTAATCCTTAGGAGATCTCAAAAAAACACTTTTCAATTAAAAAAATGTGGATTCTTTAAAAAAAAAAATTTTTTTTTTGGCAAATTTGAAGGACATGTATTTTTTCGAATAACTCTCGATGAGAGTCTCCGATTTGATCCAAACTTGGTACATCGTAATATTATTGTCAAACTTAGATCGAGTTCGGATATGGGCAATATTGCTCAAATCCTTCTGGTACCTCTCCCACACAAAATGTCAAGTAACTCTTATAAAATGTGATGTAAGCGTCCGATTTTCTTCAAATTACACACATCACAATATTTTTATTAACCCAAGATCGGGTGTGAAAATCAGAGACGTCGGTCCCCTCCTTCTGGTACCTCCCTCACAAAGGTTCAAAATTTTGAATATTCATGAAGCTCATAAAACACGAAAATAACGTCCGATGCCATTCAGACTTGACACATCTTAATATTTCCATCAACTTAAGATCTGATATAAAGATGGTAGACATCGGACCATTTCTTCTGGTACCTCCCCCACAAAGTGTCAAAAATTGGAATAACCAAAACAATCATAAAATGCGAAATAAGCATCCGGTTCTCTTCAAATTACACACATCACAATCTTTTTATTAGCTCAAGGTCTGGTGTGAAGATGGAATATATCGGACCATTCCTCCTGGTACCTCCCCCACAAAGGGTCAAAATTTTGAATAAACATGAAGCTCATAAAACGGGAAATTAACATCCAATTCCATTCAGACTTAGCATATCTCAATATTTCCGTCAACACAAGATGTGTTATAAAGATGGTAGAGATCGGACCATTCCTTCTGGTACCTCCCCCACAAAGAAGTCAACGTTTTAAATAACCAAACGATCATAAAATCCGAAATAAGCATCCGATTCTCTTCATAGTTCACGCATCCCATTATTTCTACTAACCCAAGCTCTGGTGTGAAAATAGAATATATCGGTCCACTCCTTCTGGTACCTCCCCCACAAAGTGTCAAAGTTTTGAATAACCAAAACCATCATAAAATCGGAAATAAGCATCCGGTTCTCTTCAAATTACACACATCACAATATTTTTATTAGCTCAAGGTCTGGTATGAAGATGGAATATATCGGTGCACTCCTTCTGGTACCTCCCCCACAAAGGGTCGAAATTTTGAATATTCATGAAGCTCATAAAACACGGAATTAATATCCATTAACATCTGAATGGAACCAGTCTTGGCACATCTCAAAATTTCCATCAAAACAAGATCTCTTATAAATATGGTAGAAATCGGACCATTTTTTCTGGTACATCCCCCACATAGGGTTAAAGATTTTGAAAAACAAAACGCTCAAAGAAAGCGATATAAGCATCCAACTCTCTTCAAATCTCACACAAACAAACATTTTTGCTAGCACAAGAACTGTTGCGAAGACGATATACTTCTGCCAACCCCTTCTGGTGCCACACCCACAATACTTATATCTGTCATAACTTGCGAAACAAGTCGGCGATCCTTTACACCTTTCTATATCTAAATATTTCTTTTTACCAAAAATCTGATATGAAAGTGTAATTTATTGAAATTTGTGGTTTCGCATAAAATTGGATATAAATGTTCGATTTATTTCATATTTTCACATACCAATATTTTTTTCTGTATTAGATGTAAATGGAATACTTCGGCCCGCTATATCTTTTATTTCACGCATATTTTCACATTTTCCAAAAATTTGCACAGATTTCATATTAAGTATAGGAAGTAGTCGATATAGTCCAAATCTGGTACGTTTTTTATATTTATATCGGTCTTAGTCACATACGAATATTGGCCAACTGCTTCGGAACTTCCCCCATAAAGGGTCAACAGTTTGAATAATCATAGCTCAAGGCTGGAGGTATACATCTGTCGGCAAACCCGATTGATACTATTTTACTTGTTTAAATTGCTTTTTTAATTTCTGACCAATCTGAAAATGTGTTCTCTACAATCCACTTCTCCAAGAACAATAAATTGCCTTCATAAGAAAAAAGCTATTATTGTTTATTTGTTGTTTCATAATTTATTATCATTTAATTCGGATTTCTTTAATTTATTTCGATTTCATTTCATTTTTTGTCTCTTTGTGTAAACCTTGTCTTTTGTTTTATTAATTTTAATTAATTTTCTTATGTTCTTTTTGTATAATTTTATTCATTACTTGTTGCCTTTCAATCAATTAATTTATTTATTTATTATTTAAGACTAGCCTTCATTTATAAATTATTTCTGGTAATAAATCTACTACACATTCACCCAAAAACCAAGTGACAGACTTCTGGATCTTCATCATCATCATAATCGTCTTTGCATACATTTTTTAAGAAAAACTAATTACAAAAAAAATAGGAATAAATTTTGCTAAAGGAAATGTTTGTTTTTTGAAGAAAATTACACACATTTTTATGGTTCCCATTGAGAACCCACTGAGAAGAAAGGGGAAAAAAGCGGGGAGTCGTAAAGAAAGCCATTCAACACAACTAAGAAAACAAGCTCCCTTAGAAATATTTCTATAACAAATACAAAAAAAGAAATTAAAGAAATTATTCTCTTAGTGCAGCCTTTTTGGTTTTCTTGCTGACAACAGTCGTCGGCGAGGGTGCATTGTGGGAGCTGGGTGTGGTGCTGTTACTGTTGGTTCTATGTTTGTTGAGACGTTTGTGATAGCTCTGAGCCAGCGAATTAATGATGGACACCACAAAATAGCACACCATGCCAATGACAAAAGTTTCAAAGATTTTCGACAGCAAATTGCCGGCCTCCGCCGGGGCAGAATTACGTTGACGATGCAGACGCATTTTTTGATTATTCAAAAATGCCTTAAAGGGTTCTTGTAACTTCTTGCCCACTACAGGTATCACCGACAAGGTATCCACAGCCCGCTCAATGAGTACCTCATTAAAGGCAATGATGACAAAGACCTTTTGTATGTGCATTTTAACAATGGCCTTGCCAATTAGCGTAGCACCAAAGAATGTCCAGAATGGTACCAAAAAGTGACCACAGGTAATACCAGCCAAATCGAACAAGGGATTGGGTATCTGTAAAAAGATGCAAAATTAAGTTTTTTTATTTTTGTAATTTTATCTTTTATGGTTACTCACACTAGCACATGCCAAAATACCCAGGAAACCAATGCGCTCCACAACACGTTCCATAAACAGTTTTCCCCGATCCATGAGACTTAAATCTTTTTGATTTCGTTTTGCCTTAAGTGCCTCAAATTCAGCCAATTCCTCAGCATCGTCTGGATCGTAGCCCGACAAACGGGCAGCCTTGGCCATAAAATATGGTGGCAGTTCTCCTAGAGCAGTGCCAGCACCCCATAGGAAAGCCTCCAAACGTACCTTGGACATGATGGTCCATAAATTTGGCACCTGTTTGTCATAGGGTTCCTCAGGGCAAATAATGCTGCGAATAAAAGAAAAATAAAATAATTACTTTAAATTTTTGTAGAAAATAAAGAAAATTCTCTCAAAAAAAAATATTTTAAAATTTAATATTTAAAAAAACAAAAATATTTCAATAAATTCAAAAAAAGCTAAACGTATCGGTCGGTTTTGCCGATAGATTTATGCCCTCAGCCAATGTTTGATTATATAAATATATTTTGACTTCTCTTATGATTATTCAAATGGTTGACCCTCTATGGCGTAGGTTTCGAAGGAATGGACCAAACTTGTCCAAATAAATATGATATAAATATTGCGAGGTGTCAGATTTGGACTATATCGACTACTTCCCGTACTTGATATGAGATATGTGGAAATTTTTGGAAAATGTGGAAATATGCGCGAGGTAATAGATATAGCGGACCAAAGTATTCCATTTTCATACCTCGTCTAATAGAGATAAAAATATTGGTATGGGCAAAATTTGAAGGAAATCGAACATTTATATCCAATTTTTATATGAAATCATAAATTCCATATTCATCTCGAGTTTCTGGTTAAGAGAAATATTTAGATGTAGGAAGTTGTAAAGAATCGCTGACTTGTTTCACAAGTTATGACAGACATAAGTATTGGAAATTTTGACCCTTTTGTGTGTGAGGTACCAGAAAGGATTGGCAGATATATATCATCTTTACAGATCCTGTGTTAGTAAAAGTATTTAGATGTGTGGAATCTGAAAAGAGTTGGTTGCTTATTTCGCTTTTTTGAGCGTTTTTTTTTTAAAAAATCTTGACCCCTTTGTGGGGGAGGTACCGGAAGAAATGGTCCGATCTCTACCATCATTATAACAAATCTTGTGTTGATTGAAATACTGAGATGTACCAAGTCTGAATGGAATCGGATGTTAATTTCGTATTTTATGAACTTCGTGAATATTCAAAATGTAGGCCCTTTGTGGGGGAAGTACCAGAAGGAATAGTGCTATCTCTACCATACCTAAAACAGATCTTGTGTTTATGGAAATATTGAGATGTACCAAGTCTGAGTGGAATCGGATGTTAACTTCGTGTTTAAGAGCTTCATGAATATTCAAAATGTTGACCCTTTGTAGGGAAGGTACCAGAAGGAGTGGACCGATATATCCTATTTTCACACCAGACCCTGGGTTAATAAAAATATTGTGATGTGTTAAATATGAAGAGAACCGGATGCTTATTTCGGATTTTATAATCGTTTTGGTTATTCAAAACATTGACCCTTTGTGGGGGAGGTACCCGAAGTATCTTGTGTTTATGGAAATATTAAGATATGCCATGTCTGAGTGGACTCGGATGTTAAGTTCGTGTTTAAGAGCTTCATGAATATTCAAAATTTTGACCCTTTGTGGGGGGAGGTACCAAAAGGAGTGGGCCGATATATTCCATCTTCACACCTGAACTTAGATCAATAAAAATATTGTGATGTGTGTAATTTGAAAAAGAACGGATGCTTATTTCGGATTTTATAATCGCTTTGGTTATTCAAAACTTCGACCCTTTGTGTGGGGGAGGTACCCGAAGTAATAGTGCTATCTCTACCATCTTTACAACATATCTTGTGTTTATGGAAATATTAAGATATGCCATGTCTGAGTGGACTCGGATGTTAATTTCGTGTTTTAAGAGCTTCATGAATATTCAAAATTTCGACCCTTTGTGGGGAAGGTACCAGAATTAGTGGACCGATATACTCCATCTTCACACCAGACCTTGGATTAATAAAAATATTGTGATGTGTGTAATTTGAAGACCATCGGACACTTACATCACATTTTATAAGAGTTATAACTATTCAAAATTTTGACCCTTTGTGGGGGAGGTACCAGAAGGAGTGGACCGATATTGTCCATTTTCGAACCTGACCTGGCACTGATGAAAATATTAGGTTTTGCAAAGTTACAGCAAAATCGGATTATACTTTCTCTTCCTGTGCAGTAAATTATTTTCTTTGAAAATTCCGACATTTTGTGTGGGAGGTACCAGAAGGAGTTGACCGTTACTGTCCATCTCCGAACTCGATCTAAGTTTGATAATAATATTACGATGTTCCAAGTTTGGATCAAATCGGATACTCCCTTCGAGAGATACCATGCGCTCCAGCCAGCCAGCCAGACGGACGCACGGACGAACATCGATAGATCGACTCCAAATATCCTGAAACGGATTTGGTCCAAGGAGAGCTATGGTCTAAAACCGTTATATCGACCAGGCACGTTTTGACCGTATCAGAGTATATATACCCTCTCTAACCATAGGGCTGAGGGTATAATAAAATAATTACTTTAACTTTTATTAAAAAAGAAAAAAATCCCTTAAAAAATTATTTAAAAAATTAATATTTAAAAAAAAAATATTTCAACAAATTTGAAAAAAAAAAAAGAAATTTTATATTTCTTCACTTACTCATCGGGATATGGTGGTTTTGGGAAATTCAATGAATTACATTCATATGCAGCCAGCGTCACACTGGCTATGTGTGGACCCAAGTACAGCAGAAACGTATGCAGTCCCGTGCCCAAGCCCACCGATGACAGTATACCCAAACCGGTCCAATAGACCACAAACCAGGTATTCTGTTTTAAGAATTCAAATAGAACTTGATGAGGTCCGGGTATGTGATATAATATAGCTATAAAACTAGCTAACACTACAAATACACCAATCCAAATTTTTCTTTGAATTAATCTGCAACAAAAATACGGGAAATAGTTTTTAAAATGTTCCTGCATTAAAAACGTGTGGTGGAGATGTTTACTTACTTTCTTCCTAAAGTCTTAACAAGTTCAACTATTTCTAAACTACAATATGACAATGTTTGTATTGGATGTCTCCATAATACTAAAGCTTCACGTTCGGCCTTGAGTTTTTCCTTTAGTTGTTTGTTGTTGTTGTTCTTGGTTTGTTTCATGCTTAAAGGTAAATTGCCGTTGTTAACTTTTTTGGGGTGTTGTTGTTGCTGATGCTGCTGTGGTTGATGTTTTTTGGTTGGTGTTTCTTTTTTTGCAGAGTTGGAGTTGGACGTTGCAGAAGAAGAGGAGGACGTACTATTGTTATTGCCGGTCTTTTGTTTATGGGAATTGTCTACATTTTTTCTTTGTCTCGTATCCTTGTCCTTCTTCGAATGTTGTGACATTTAAGTAAAGTTTAGTTCTCGAGAAAAAAAAGTTGTTAATAATTTGCTTGACGGGAGGGTATGTCTGGCGTCTGTTGATTTATTAAGTTTTCTGTTCCTTTGCTAGTTTTTGTTTTTTATAAAAAAAGATAGACAACTTGGCTTCTAAAGAAGTTGTATGGGGTGCTGATAAAGGTGCGGGCTTTGGTGTCTTGTTAGTTCTACGATTTTGTTTATGCCTCTCTGGTTTTACATTGGTTTATGAAACTGAAAGAAAAAAAAAGGAAAAAGAAAATTATCATTTTAAAAGTTTTAATAACATTTCAAGTAATGAAGGCTCCTGCTGGAATAAGATGTCCGGAGATTTATAAATAGATCCCATGGTAATATGAAATACAATTTGAAATATTTTCATATTTGTTAAATATCAAGTCATTCCCACTTTCCTATCTAAAAAAAAAAAAAAACAAAAAAAAACCTTTTGCAATTTTTTATGACCTTTAAATGCGAGCGTTGAACAGACATGACCTTTAAGTAGAACATCTCCTGAGGCTGCAAATAAAATAAATATTGTTGTTCACTTTTTTTAAATCACACAATGGGTATTGTAGACAAATTTTAAAGTGAAATGATTGAAAGCCCACATGTTTTAGGGATTTTCAGGAAATAATCAGAGAGAGAGGGCGGTAGAGGGATAAAATTTCAGATACAAAACCCATGTTTCAATTTTTCTACAGAAAACATAAAATAAGGAATCCAAAAGCATCCTTTCCTGTTAATTTAAGCTAAAATTTTCAGCCGCAGATATCCAGCCTTTTTAATCAGAGAAAATATATGCCGGGGAAATCTTTTATTTTTGTGCTCTAGGACACAGACATTGAATTCTGATTCCCAATTATCCCAAGCCCCTAAATAAGAGACCTTTCTCTGAGAATATTCGAAGTATACAATTATAAGGGAGTTTCTTCGGACATTCCCAGAACAAGGTCTATTTATTTTAGGGCTTCGGATAATTGATTTAGGAATCAGAATTCAATGTCTATGCCCTAGAGCACAGAAAGAAGTATTCTTCCGGCATTTTGGGGCTTGGGATAATTGATTTAGGAATCAGTATTCAATGTCTATGCCCTAGAGCACAGAAAGAAAGGATTTGCCCGGCATGTGTATTCTCTGATTTAAAAGGCTGGGATATCTGCGGTTGGAAATTTCCGTAAGTTCATATTTAAAATTATATTCAAAACATTCAGTCTATCGCTTGCAATGTCTGCCTCTAATCGGTCACATAAACAAACAATGGCTTGCGTTCTATTATAAAAAAAAGAAAATATAATGCGACCATACAAAAGATAATCAATAATTTGCAAAACAATGACTTTGATTATGATTCATAACATTAAGTGATAAGAAAGGCGGCAAGGCAAGGGTCCAAGAGAAATGGAGTAAAAATGGACTAGTAAACACTCTAGTAATTTGAAGAAGAAAAACCGATGGACAAATTTTTATACCCCCCAAAATGTCAAAACTGGACTTATGATCAGATTGTCTAACCTCAAAATCACTAAAATATGGAAGTTTTGGTGGCTATAACTGAATATCTTTTACTAAGAGTTAACCTACGCAATGAGGACTTAATGTAAACTATAGGGCAGTTACTACTGATATTCTCAGAGCAAGGTCTATTTATTTTGGGGTTTGTGATAATTGATTTAGGAATCTTTGTTTGAAGTGCAACACATTTTTTTATTTTTAACCACTTATTATCTTTGAACATCCTGACCTATTCTGCAGAAGTCAGTGACTGTGCCCCGCAAAAAATAATAACTTGGCATGTGATTTCTCTGATTTAAAATAAGGAATAGAAAATTCCAAATTACAGCTGATTATGAAGGACAATTAGACCCAAATCTGCCAAAAAAACACGAAAATCAGGAGGTAGCGATATATGGCCCTTTGGCCCAAAAAGTTGATCTACATCGAGTATTTTTTTGCGAGGAGTTAAACTACACATTGAGAACCAAAAGTGTTAAATTACAGCCAATTTATTTGGAAACTCATACCAAAAGCTTAAAAAAATCGAAAATCATGAGGTACCGATTTATGGGGACTATACCAAAAATATTTTTGGCGAGGAGTTAAACTACCCTCTGAGATACCAAAATATCAGATTACAAATGATTTGGTTTAAAATTGGAGCCAAAAACTTCGAAATATAAAAAAGTTATGGAAATTGAGACCAAAATGAGTGCTAAACCAAAAATTGGACCTACAATGAATATTTTTGCTAGGAGTTACACTACCTCTGGGAACCTGAAATTTCAAATTACACCTGATTTGGTTGGAAATTGAGCCGAAAAACCGAAAACCAGGAGTTGCCATTCAAAGGGGGCTGTATCAAAAATTGGACCTACAATGAATATTTATTTGCGAAGAGTTATACAACCTACCGAGAACCGAAATATCAAATTACAGCTGGTTTGTTTGAAAAATGAGACCAAAACCCCCGAAAAACCGAAAATCAGGAGGTACCTTTATATGGGAGTTATGCCATAAGTGGACCTGCATTGAATTTTTTTGCGGGGAGCTAAATTACTTTCTGGGAACCTGAACTTAGTTAGAAATTGGAGCCAACAACTTCGAATAATCGAAAATCTGGAGTTGCCGTTCAAAGGTGGCTATACCAAAAATTGGACCTACAATGAATATTTCTTTGCGAAGAGTTATGCGACCCACAGAGAAACCAAAATATCACATTATAGCTGATTTAGTTGGAAATTGAAGCCGAAAAATTCGAAAAATCGAAAATTAGGAGATACTTTTATATGGGAGCTATACCAGAAATTGGAGATAAATTAAAAATTATTTTGCGACCTGTTACACTTTTCACTGAGAAACCGTAATATAAAAATACAGCTGATTTCGTTTGAAATTGGAGCCAAAAACTTCGAAAAATCGAAAATCATAGGGGTTGCCGTTCGAAGAGAGCCATACCAAAAATTGGACCTACAATGAATATTTATTTGTTCCACCGAGGAACCGAAATGTCATATTACAGCTGGTTTGTTTGGAAATCGAGACCAAAACCCCCGAAAAACTGAGAATCAGGAGGTGCTGTTATATGGAAGCTATGCGACAAACTGGACCTACATTGATTATTTTTTGCAAAGAGTTATACAATCCACCGAGAAACTGAAATTACAGCAGTTTTGGTTGGAAATCGGAGCCGAAAATCGGAAAATCATTGAATATATCAAAACGTGGTGCTACGTTAAATATTTTTGGTGAGGAATTGAACTACGCACTGATCACCCGGAATAACAAATTACAGCTTTTTCGGTTGCGTATGGCCTCAAACTTCAAATTACCGAAAATCAGGAGGTACCGTTCTATGCGGGCTATATCTAAACGTGGACCGATGCATTACATTTTCAACACAAAACATCCTAGGTGTAATAATAATACCTTCAAAATTTCAAACTTTATCTTTAAAAGTGTGGGCCCTGTTCTGATTTTAATGGCGGAAAGACGGACAAGCCTTAATTGACATAGAATTTTTTTTACGCTGGTCATGAATTTGTATATTTTATTGGATCTCCGAAGAATATTTCGAGTGGTTTCAAATGGTGTCGCAAATTAAATATATCCCCCATTTTATGATGGACCTTATTTGTAGGTAAAAAGCTTGACACGAAGGTGAACCCAAACAATGTCCAAAATTTGAGTCTGATTTTCAAACAGCTCACGACATTGGCAGCTGGTACACTATCAAGAAGCGATGCCGGAAGAACGGTATTGCGAATGATGTAACAAATATACCCTTCATTCCTTCCTACCCTTCATTTAAAGGTAGAGCTTATTTGTTCGTAAAAAGAAGGTGGATCCAAACAATGACCAGAATTTGAGTCTGATTTTCACAAGTTTAGCTTACCAAGAAGCGAAACCCAATGTTGTGAAAAATTTCTCTAAAAAAGTCCTTAATTCAATTTCTATCTGTCTATTCCCCCTCCAAAGGAATTCCTAATTAAGGGTTTCGGAAAAAATCACCCCATTTTTAAAAACAGCTGACACCAAACATGTGTGTTCATTTACACAACGCCCCTGGAAATAATTAAAAATTAAAGATAAAAACATTTAAATAGACAATCTATCACTCACCACTTTTGGACCAAAATTTGATTGCATTAAATTATCTATAAACCCAACTATGTTCCTCACTGATAGTATTAGATAGACACACTTCTTTTATTAATTTTTCTACGTATGTCATTGACCAAAGGCCGGCCAGAACCTATACTAATTTCGAAAAGAAACAAATTAAATAAAACAAAAACAACCCTGCCAAATGGTTAATGACCTACATACGGGAATTGGAAAGAATACCGTGTAGGTAAAATGAATGAAATGGTAACGAAAGAAAAAAAGTATTTAATCTACTCTATATGGACTACTGCAGCAGGCAAATTGAAGAAGAGATAAGTGCTATCGCTTTTTATTTGTCTGCCTTTTGTACCGGTCTAAGTTTGTTTGGCCAAACTATTTAAAGATTAAACAAATGTCAAGTAGGTATTCTTCTTGGATGTTGACGAGCGTGCCCAGCGCAAGTGTGTGTCTGGCATAATCAAAGTCTAATCCCAAAGACGAGTAATGTTTATCAGTGCTATGCTGTAATAACAAAAGGAAAGTGTATTACATTTTCGTTATAAATTTTATTAAATTATTACCTGACTTTCCTCTTCTTTTAAAATTTAATTAACCATTTGTTGTTGTGAAAATTTTTTGTTAATTTAATTTTTTTTTTTTATTTTTTTTTTGTGAAAAAAAGTTGCGAGGGAAAATTAAACATGCGATACCAGCTGAACCAACCAATGACAAGAAACCACACACGTTTCCAATGGTTTTATGTCATGTTGTTGCTATTGTTATTATTCTACTCAAAAGTTTTTCAGTTTTCTAGGCTATTATTGAGTAACGCGGTTTTCAATTTTCTTTGGCAGAGAGCGAGAGTGAATACAAATACAAAAGAGAGAGAGAGATTGAAAGGTAAACAAAACACTGTGACTAAGTTTAAATAAGTATAGGGGTCATATTACAAAGAGTAAGGGAATTACAAAGGAAGGGAAGTTCACACCAGTTTGGATATGGAAATGAGGCTATTATTTATGTGGTTTATTTTTCATTAAAAGGAAATCTTGTAAAATATATTCTTGGGATCTACATCAAAATCTTAACCCAAAATTGGAATCGGATGCATATAGCAGCAGCAGTATAGCTTATTCACCAAATCATTTCAGCATTTGTGTGGGAGCTATATCTAAATCTAAACTGATTTTTATTAAACTTCGAAAAAAACCTAGGCTAATAAAAGCGACTTGATCGAAATCCGCGTCGTAGTGGCCCAAAAATGGCTCGTGAGCTGAACATATTCTATTCGGCAAATATTGAAAAATGAGCTCGGGGTAAAGCCATTGAAATTCCCAAAAAGTGCAAAAACTTACACCGCAACAGAAAAAAAATTGACTCAAAAGAGCTAAAAAGTTGCTTAGCTTGGCCGAACGTGGTGAATTGCCGAATTTGGTTTTATCCGATGAGAAAACATTCGTTGTCCAGCAGTTTCTAAACAAACAAAACGATCGTTTTTTTTTTGTCAAAGACGTCAGCTGAAAATGTGTACCTTCAGTTGACCACCAGAACTCAAGCGCCGGCCATGGTGATGGTGTGATCCGCCATAACAGCCGATGGTCGCTCTCCGCTCGTATTAATCGACCGTGGCATCAGAATAAATGCCGAAATCGCGAAAATATTCCAGAGGGTGTATTGAATCCTTGGGCACGCAAACATTTTGGCCGCAGGCCTTGGACATTCCAACAGGACTCAGAACCATTGCACTCAGCACGCGCCACCTAAGAATGGTCATAAAATGAGTTTCCTCGCTTCATTTCCAGCGCACAATGGCCACCAAAATCTACGGATACCAATCCGTTGGACTATTGTGTCTGGAGTATTTTGGAAAGCAAGGTTGACACTAAAAAATACCAAAGTGTCGATCACCTCAAGCAAGTGCTTCGCCGGGAATGGGCCAAAATACCGCAACATTCGGGCAGCGTGCGACGGTTTCATTGGCCGTTTAAAGGCCATAATTCGTGCCACAGGTGACCAACTCGAACAAATCTAGAGTTATTCTAAAATTTAATACTATTTTCGAAATTTTTTTGCTTTCATTCAATAAAATTTAGAAAATAAATGTTAAATTTATGGCGTTTGACTTTGTTGCAGTTTTTTTATCTCACCCTGTATGTACAATTCGATCGTGATTAAACTTGAAATATCACCTTATGATGATCATCTACACGAAGTCGGAGGAATAGGACTCCGGGAACTTGAAACTTGAAGATTTCTTAAAAGTAGAGAAAAGAAGGAAACTTTAAAGTTTAGGATTTTCTTTAAATTCTTGAGACATTAATTTAACTTTAAACTATTACCACTTCTTGGGATTGCAGACTCTGTAAGAAATAACATTTTTACTATGACCAACATTTAATACAAAAAATATATACCTTATAGCAATTATGGTCCCTTATTTCCATGGAATTATGTCCGTGAATGATGCAGGCCATATTCACACTGACTTTTTCATTTCTTTATTTTCTTTGTTCTAAATTTTCTCGCAATGACTTAGCTTTGTGGCATTTTGGGGGATTTTTATCATTCCGACTCATTAATATTGCTTCACCCTGTACTTGTATTGCTTCTACCACTGAAAACGTGTTCTTTGGATTCTTTTGTTAACCCCCTAAAACAAACAGCACACACCACAATAAGGGTGTGGGTGCAATAAGGGGGATGTTTTAACTTTTATTTTTTGTTCCCAATAACTCTCACTCTGTCTCTCTCTCTCCCCACAAAATAAACTCTCTGTAACACTTCACACACAATTTTTTTCCATTTTTCTCTCTCCCCTTACATCTCTGGGTTGCGGTTATTATTTTTTTATATTTATGCAATGAGACACGAAATATATTTTGAAATGCATAAAATATTTCATGCAATGTCTAGACAAAACAACAGACGAAACATTTATTGCAATACCCAATACGAAACACACACTTTGGCAATTAATCGTTTGTTCGTTCGTGCTCATTAATATTTCCGCATTTAATTGATTGTTGTTTTTGTTTGTTTCATGTTGTTTTTTTTTCTTGTGAGATAGATGATTTGTCAATTTTTCATCTTGTCTTCATTGTCATTCACAACACAGGGACACACAAATTTACATTTAAATTACAATTACCTTGTGTAAAGTCTTTATGTTTTGTTGGCCTGTATAGCAAACAAATAGAAAACTTTATCGTTAATGTTTAATTAACACATTTATGGGATTTACTTGTTTTTCCGCACGATTTTTAATTCAATTTCGATCTCTCACTACACTAAACCGCAATCGTCGAAGATACGAATCAAAAGACAATAAAGAATGGTCGATAAAAATTAGCAAGAAAATGAAGTCGAAGTCCAATGTTTTTCCCCATCTGCTTAATCAGAGGAAAATGATAGCCTGACTTTGCTAATCACCGAAAATGATAACCAACAAGCTGTTTTATAGCGCGTTTAAATACAATGTTTTAAGCAAATAATTTAAAATTTTCTTTAGGCAATTTCCCAAAATAAATGTGATACAGAACTTGTAAATTAGTACTTTTTTGATACCATAAAAAAGAAAGGAAGAAAAATAAACAAATATTTGGTTATTTCAATGTCTGAAACAGAACAAATGAGTCGTGAGGTTTACTTGGAGAAAAAAGTAGGATAAAGTAATGGAATGGAATATTATAATGATGTGGGCACATATGCAGCTTGAACTCTTCGGATGGCATATTTTGTGACACATCTTAAAGGGATAAGAGACGCACGTCGTTTTCCCTTATAATTTGGCATTAATATGACTAACTATGATGTACCCATGACTCAATCAGAAAGGTTGATTCAAGGACTTCAAGGAAACTAAGGAAATGCAACTCAGTACTGGAGTCTTATTATACCAAATAGACATTTAAAACGTGCTATCGTGTGTCATATAACAGAAAAACTGACATCGTAATTTGTTTTCATATGGTAAGTGCTAAGAGGTGTTCAAGATTTAGAAAATAAATTACGATAAATGTTATTTAATATGTCACTTGGAACTTATTTTTGAATTTATAACCAAAACGCAGAAATATTTGAAATCTTGCGTTCTTTTACCTTCGTTCCTTCACCCGCTCATTATAATCTCTCATTTTTATAAAATTTACTTTTTGCATTACCATATTAGCTGAACACACTTTAAGGCAACATTTTACAGTGAGTGACACTTGTCATTACTGTGTGTAATCCAATACAAATAACAGTTGATTGAAAACGTACCCAAAGTATACATCACACATAACAGGGTGTCTCATACTTGGCCAAGACAAAGCTTGTGAATTTTGTGGCGACTGTAAACAAATTTACTAAGGTTTTTTTAATTATATTAAACACAAATTTGTGTTATTTTCTAGCTTTTTCCAAAAATGGAAAGTGAAGCAACAGATCATCAGCAAATGGGCAGTAAAAGTGGCGAACAATCAACACCAATGGATACGGATGATGAGCCCATGAATAGTGCAGAGGCAGCTCACGGTATTGTCGCGTTTTATATTCTTGTGAAAACTGGTCTCATTGAAGTTTTTGTTTCTTTGTAATTATAGGTGCTATGGAAAATCATGGTGAGGGGCAACAAAATTTGTTGCAATCCCAAATGAATGCCAGTAATGATGCACTGAATCATCACCAGGCTGGGGATAATGCTGGCTCAAATCATTTACCGGTGGATATGGATGCTGGGCATGATAATTTGGCAACATTGGCCTCAATTGCGGGAGCAGAGGCCGCACCCTTGATATCGACAAGTTCTGCATTAACATCCTCACAAACCTCGTCGATAGATTCAACAGCATCCGGCCAAGCGCAATCAGGAACAGAGGTCACACCACAAAAACCTGCAACCTCCCAGCCAACAACGCCCTCCACCACACAAGCCCCTAATTCACAACCACCACCTCCACCCATTGATGAGGAGGATGCCAAATGGCATACTGTGGGCATATTTCAAAATCTATCCACCACGGTGACCAATTACATTGATAACACTGTATGGACTTCGGCTGGTATGCATCTCAACTCCGATGAAATACCCGATTTAACACAATATGAACGCATTAATCTTGAACCCGGAACGGCATATCGTTTTCGCATTAGAGCCTTAAATTCGGTGGGGGCCAGTGATTGGAGTGAAATATCTAGTTTTAAAACATGCCTACCCGGCTTCCCGGGAGCACCATCGGCCATTAAGATATCCAAGTCTTCGGAGGGAGCTCATCTTACCTGGGAGCCACCACCAAGCTGTGTTAGTTCCAATGAAATTGTTGAATATTCGGTATATTTGGCAGTCAAGCCGGGCAAAGAGAAAGAGGCCAAGGCGGGACAAAGAGCTCCAGCACAATTGGCATTTGTACGAGTCTATGTGGGGGCAGCTAATCAATGTACGGTATCGCATAACTCTTTGTCAGCAGCCCATGTAGATTGTTCCAATAAACCGGCTATTATATTTCGTATTGCGGCACGCAATGAAAAGGGTTATGGCCCCGCTACACAAGTTAGGTGGCTACAAGATCCAGTACAAAATTCTGCAACAAATCATGGCATGGGAGCCAATAGTTTATTGTCGCCCACACGTGTTAAGCCAGAATTGGGTGGAGCATCACCGAGCAAACGTTTTAAAGCGGCAGCGGGACGTTAGGGGAAGTAGGGAGAAAGACAAGGATTCAACAATTCAAGTTACAGTGTATTCAATCTTTATAACATTTAAAATACAATTACAAACATACAGATTTTGTAAAAATAAACCTGACATTATTTTCTTTAAGATTTTAATTATTATTTTTTTTCTAGATGACCGACCGAACGATCAGTCGTAATTATCAGTTCAATAAATAAGAAGTAAAATAAATAGCTACATAAAACTAAAGATGGAAGAAGTTCCATTCAATTTTTTTCTTTCTGGATTGAAATTTCCATGTGAGTTCCATTGGGTTTGAGGATATGGGAATAAAACAGTTAGGATATAAGCTGTCTTTAAAAGTTAAGAGCTTTTTTAATTCAAAATGTTGTTTCTTCCAATTTGAGGCCAAACAATAACCTTATCTTGCTTCTAAATCGCATGAGTTTGATACAAAACCAAATGTTCTAAAAGAAAAAAAAAAAGATAAACATGACTCTCCTTGAATACGATGAAGTAGATCCTACCTTCTATCGTTCTACATTGTTGCTCCAAATCATCTTCACAGTTTTCATCTCTTAATGTTGGCATTGCGGAGATATTTAAACTATAATCTGGTCCATATTTTAGGAAATTTTCATTATCGCTAGGAACATCATCTTCAAGCGTTTCGTCGCATAACTCAGCTGTTAGTTGGCACCAATACCGACTGGAATTGGCCAGACTATAGCCCCCTCCACCCAAGAATACACAGGGTACGGGATAGTCTAATATAACTCTAATGCATTCTATTAAATCTTGTGGTATCAAATTCGAGCCACCCAAGGGATCGCCCACTATAACATCCGCACCGCATTGGACAACACAGACATTTGGTTTGAAGGCCTTGTACACGGCAGAGAAGATTCTAGGGGAAAATGATGGAGATTTTAAAAATATATTCTCTAAACTACTGGATTTTTAAGAATCTTCCAATATTTTTACCTCTTAAAACATGTCTTATATTTATCGCCTGTTATTCCCCTTTTATAGGGAAAATTAACTGTATATCCCAAGCCATTGTCCCGACCCATATCCTTGCAACTGCCACTACCAGGATAATAACCGCATTCCATTTGATGAAACGACAGACAAAATACACGGCGTGTGGAGGCAAAGGCTTCCTCAACGCCATCTCCTAAAAATGGGAAATTAATAAGGTACAAACATTATAAAATAGAACAACGTCCTACCATGATGATTATCCAAATCGACATAGAGTATCCGGCGAAATTTTGTGGTCAACACAAGAATACCCAAAACAATATCATTGACATAACAGAACCCAGCTGCCCGGCCCTTTTGGGCATGATGCCAACCACCACACCAATTAATAACAATATCATTGCTATCTTTCGATTTACAGACCGTATCACAGGCTGTCATTGTGGCCCCGGCAATGGCATAAACATAATCCTTTACCCCTCGCCATGGCGGACAATCATAGCACAAACCATGGCAATCTGATAAAAGACAATCTTCTAAATCTTCTTCATGATCATCATCATCTCTGTAGGAATTATCTTGGATTTTCTTGTCTTCTTTGCTTAAATCTTCATAGTTATTTAGCTGCTTTACATAGTCGGCATTGTGAAAAGCCTTGAGGTCACCAGAATTGGCCACAACGGGCCTAATTCGTTCCATGTGTGATAGAAGGCCATAGGACTTGATGAGGTTGTGGGTTAAAGAAGCCTGGAATGGGGACAATATTTAGTTCAAGATACTATACTGAAAACTGTCCCTGCCAATAGGGCATCAAATTGAAAAGAATTCCAGAAGGAAGTCTGGAAAAAGAATAGGGGTTTCCAGAAAACCTAGTTGAATAATTCCAAACTAAGGAAGTTCAATTCTTACCCTTCCTTTGACGGCTGGATTCTTGTCGGCCTGTGCCAAGAGATAATCACTGTAAACATATTTGATTTTCCTAGACATTGTGAGCGGGGATATCAGGAGAATATCTATCAAACAGAAATCTTTTGAAGGCCTCAACTATGCCGAAGTTTATAAATTCTTTCTATTCCAAAGATACCTAAAAAAGGCCAGAAACCGCCCTATAACTAGAACATAAATCGCGCGCCAAATTTTAAAATCCAATCCTAGAACATCGTATTGTTAAATCGGTTAGGTTTCTCAATGCATTTGGCTTTGTTTTGGACTAGTCCTTGTCCGTTATGGACTAGGTGTTACACTTGCGTATGGAGTAGTCGTATTATTATGATGTCAAATTCACGATTTGGCCCTTGAAACCAATTGCGGTGGTATAAGGCCTCCTCAAGAGGCGGGCGCAATCCACTAATAAAGAAATTGGTCATAGGGCTTTATAGATCGAAAACAACTCACAAATTTGCGCGCCATTTCCTTGAAACCAAAGTGTCGTTTGCGATCTACGAAACTCTATCATCACTCAGAGTTGGGAGTTTAACTAAAGCAAAGGTAGAAACTAATGTAGCTATCAAAGAACAGATAAAACTATAGCAGTTTTTCACAGTTCCAGAAAGTGTTGCAATTGTGGCGCTAAATATAAAAGTATGGCACTTATAGCGTAAAAAAACGCTAATTTTAAAAGCTTGAAAAGAAGAGGGAGAAAAATAAACCAAGTGTCAAAGGGAAAATATAAACTACAGGCATTTTTCAGAGTATTGCACTCGTAGCGTTTAAGAACCGCTAATTTCAAAGGCTTGATTTTTCTTCTTTATTTCCCATGAGCTAATAAAAAATGCTTTCCTTCTTTACTTTGATAATTTTTTTTATTGGGTTTTTGAAAATTGTTATAACCTTATTTATACATTTACACGGTGTTTTGTTGTATCTTCATTTTGTTGTTCGTTTCTTTTTTGCTATGAAATTTTTGTTTTATTATTAGAATTATTTTTTTTTTCAATATTTTTTTAAATGTTTTAACAATTTATGTGTAGTTTTTAATTGTTTTCCTATGAAATACTTTTATTTCTTGTTGTTTGGGTTCTTTGTCATTATTTTAGAAATAATTTTATGTTGATTAATGTTTAAAACTACATTTGTGTGTGTGAAAGTGTGTGTGTATTACATCATCTAAACATTTAGCTAAATACTTAACATAAAAAGTACAAAAGTTAATAACTTTTTTTTATAAGATTTTTACTCTTTCATATTTTTACAATAAAAAAAGTTATTTTTTTTCAAGATTTCTTTAAGAATACTGATGATAATTTTTTTTCATTATATTTTTTTATATGTTAGGTTGCAGTTTGTCAGTCACAATATTCGGTTTTTTTATATTTTTTTAATTTTTTTTTTCAATTTATTGCTAAATTTACCATTAACTCTAACTAAAATATAACAAAGATATTTTTCTAATTTTATATATTTTTTATTTTCGTTTTTATATACAAAAAAATTCCTTACTATCAACCTTAGGGTGAATGGTTTATAATTTTACATTTTAAATACGATCTATTTGGGTCTCCTGGGCCTCCAGTTCAGGTTCTTCGGCCAGGGTATAGACCCCTTTGAGGCCGAGGTTGCCACCATTTGAGTCCAACGATGATTGTGTGGTAGGCGTGAGAGTATCCATCAAAGGACTACCCATTGTATTGAGCCCAGGACAAGAACTAGGCGGAGATGTGGCCAAACCACCACCAACACCACCACAGGACGATGCTGAGGTTGTTAAATTATTAAGCGGTAAATTTACATTCGATTTTAGTAGATTAGTTGATGTTGAAGCCGTTGCATTTGGATCCATTGTCAGAATAGGCATTAACTCGTGATTAACATAATCCTTTAATTGGTGAATATTCGCCAAATCTGAGTCATTGTGGGTGCCAAAGACCAGTGATGTGGGTGTGCCTGAAAAAAAAGAGACATTTTAGAATAAAATTGCAAATTATATCTCAAAATTATTAAAGAAAACAATTTCACATTGGCCTATAACCTTAGTAGTTCATAAAGTGCGAACATCCCTTAGGAAATCACATTTTATTTTTTCTCATTCACGACGGCTATTCTATGGAGTGCCTTACTTTAGGAAACAATGACTCTAAGGTCTTTCGAATTAATTTCTGTGGAAAAAACTGTCCGCGTCCTCTTTTATTAAAAAACTCCCTTTACTTAAATTTATTCTTAGCATGTGAACCTCCCTTAAGAGTTGCCATCACATGGTTGTATTTTGTGACTGAGTGTGGCCACTGCAGAGATTTAGAACCCGTTATTTTGAAATTGTGTACAGTGTGAACACCCCTTAAGGCAGAGTTGTATTCTCTCGTATTGTCTGGCTAATGTAGCGTTTAAAAAAACGCCAAATTACAAAAGTCTCAAATTTGAACATCTCTGAAGTCAGAGTTGCATTTTCTTTTGTGGAGTGGCTAATTAAGCGTTTAAATAAGCGATAATATAAAATTATGCATAAAATGGTGATACTGAGTTCCTATGTGGTCAATGTAGCGTTTTCAAATATGATCAGATTGACTTTGTTTATAAAGTGTGGCTAATGTGACGTTTAAAATACCAGCTAATTTATGTTAAGATAAAAATCGAACTCAAGGTACAATGTGGCCAATGTAGCGTTTTAAAAAGACATTTTTATATATTATCGAAAAAAGCCAAATTAACAATGTGTCAAGTCTGAACCTCTCTGAAACCAGAGTTGAATTTTCTTTTGTGGAGTGGCTAATTCAGCGTTTAAATAAGCGATAATATAAAATTATGCGTAAAATGTTGGTGCTGAGTTTCAATGTGGCTAATCTAGCTTTTTCAAACATGATGAGATTTCCTTTATAAACAGCAGTGTGGCTAATGGGGCGTTCAAAAAATCAGCTAAAATAAATTTGGTCTAAAAATCTAATCTTGAGGTACAATGTGGCTAATGAAGCGTTTTCAAATATGATGGGATTGCCTTTGTTTATAAAGTGTGGCTAATGTGACATTAATCAGCTTATATAAAATTGAATTAAAATTCTGATCTTGAGGTACAATGTGCTCATGATGACATATGACATTTAAAAATCAGCTAACGTAAAATTGAACTAAAATTCTGATCTTGAGGTTCAATGAGACCAATATAGCGTTTTTCCAAAAACGCATTTTTATTAATTTTTTGTTTTTTTTTCAGTGTGGCTAATATGACATTTAAAGATCAACTAATGTAAAATTGAGCTAAAATTCTGATCTCGGGGTTTAATGAGGCCAATGTAGCGTTTTTCCAAAAACGTATTTTTATTAATTTTTTTTGTTTTTTTTTTCAGTGTGGCTAATATGACATTTAAAAATCAACTAATGTAAAATTGAACTAAAATTCTGATCTTGAGGTTCAATGAGGCCAATGTAGCGTTTTTCCAAAAAGGTATTTTTATTAATTTTTCTTGGTTTTTTCTTTCAGTGTGGCTAATGTGGCGTTAAAAAATCAGCTAATGTAAAATTGAACTATAAATCTGATCTTGAGGTACAATGTGGCCAATGTAGCGTTTTTCCAAAAACGCATTTTTATTATTTTTTTGGTTTTTTCTTTCAGTGTGGCTAATGTGGCGTTAAAAAATCAACTAATGTAAAATTGAACTAAAATTCTGATCTTGAGGTACAATGTGGCCAATATAGCGTTTTTCCAAAAACGCATTTTTATTCATTTTCTTTGGTATGATTTCCCACCTAACTCTTTACTCACCCGTTACCAAAGTCTCTTCGGTGGGATTTCGTTGATACAAGTTCTGCTTCTTCTCCGTATACGGCTGTCAAGGTGGCATATAATAGCTGGTCGGCTCATCATTCGTTGTATCCAGATTCGATGTTTTCTTAAATTCCACCACAAATTTAATGCGATTCACAATCTCTTCGTGTATGACATTGAAACACATGGCCGTCAGGGCCATGCCGGACATAATGTATATGGAACAAAACCAAATGGTGGTGTTCGAGTCGCGCCGAAAACCTGGCATCATATCGCCGAAACCGATGGTGGAGAGACTCATGAAGCAAAAATAGATGCCATCCAAGAGGGGCCAATCCTCGAGGCGATAGAGGACCACGGCCCCGAACAAGATGTAGATTATCATCATACAAAAGCAGAGGAGTATGGGTGCCAAGATGGCCAGGCCATGCATGCTGCCACGCGACTCACTGGCACTCAGCGAATCGAGATCGGGCATTTGTATGCTGCTCTGACCGAGCGATTGTTTTTCCGGCGTCTGAAAGGTGTCCGGCATCGATCCGGACCGAACGTAGTAGGGTTCCTGCAGAGCCTGTTGTTGTTTGCGCAACTCTTCCTGTTGGCGTTTGCGTTTCATACGTCTCTCCTTTTCGGCCATACGCTTTTCGTCGTAACAACAGTAGCCACAGTTGGAGCATAGGCAGCAGCACAACGCCTTCGAGAATACTTCGCGGGCCACCTTGGCCAGAATGCCACCCGTGCTGGAGAGATACACCAGGGTCAGGGGTATGCCGAAAAATGCATAGGCCAGGGTAACCAAACGGCCCAGGGTGGTGCGAGGCGCAATGTTGCCATAACCTGGAAAGGTAAAAAAGTGAGGTTAGTATTTTTAATGGAATTAATTTTTTGTCCCAAAAAGTTGTTCCTAACGGTCTTCCGAATTTTTTGTTATAGAAAAACGGAATTTTAGTCCCCTAAACATCGGTTTTCTGTTAAAAAAAGCAAATATTTATTTTTGGCTTGGCTGGCGTATAAGTGTTGTCGTTATTCATACGCATCATGGGCCGCAGCATTTAATCCCCCCTAAATTTCGAAGAATTGACTGTTTCTCATAAACTTTTTTTCTATTTTCAATTTTCCCAAAACAACTCTCAGTTCCTAAAACCATTTGACAGAGACACAGTTTTGTACTTGAAGCACTAAAGCGAAATTCCGTCACATAAAATCGCGCTATGGCTGTTTCTGACGACGACCATGATGATGTTGGTGATGGTGGTGATGGTCGTGACAATGATGATGCCAAGAATGACAATGACAACGACTGTGTGTTTACATTTCGAAACATACGGCGGCTGGTTCTGACGTTGGGCAAACCCTGATGGTGGGTGGGGGAGGTGTGCGTACTGTTGATAATGATTAGCATTCAAGTCAATCGAATTGTTACCACTCAGCTTTAGATTTAAGTGTCCTCCTAGTGTGCCTCTGTATTTGACTTGTGAAGTGAGAGAGGGGGGGGAGGGGTGGCGTCAAGGGAGAATGGAAAGCAAGAGCCTGGCAAAGCCAGCCTGCAAGGAAGCCAAGTAAAGTGGTTTGTTTGTTCAGCAATTGATTTGTCAGTAACATTTTCAAGAAGCCATTATCCTAGGCATCGATATCGCATCGCATCACATCAAGGCTGTTCGATTTGTTTGCAAACAATTGTTTCTTTTTTTTTCGGTTCGAAAAACCCGAAACAGAAAAAAAAAATCGACAATGCGCAATGGGAAGCAGAAACCAGGAGATGTTCCTGTTCCATTTGCGGCCGGGGGGAGGAGTTTTAATTGAAAAACTAAAAGAATAGGATTTATACGCCATAGATATTTATAACACTAAAGGTGTGTGACAATAATCGCCCTAGGTCACCCTACATTTCTAGTGAATGTCTCCTTCCTTCCAACAAACCAGCCAAAAACGCCCTGGTTCACCCTACATTCATTAGCAAAAGCCAATGAATGAAGGAAGTCATGCTAATGAATGTAGGGTGAACCAGATCGTTTTTGGCTGGTAATAATAATAATAATAATAATAATAATAATAATAATAATAATAATAATAATAATAATAATAATAATAATAATAATAATAATAATAATAATAATAATAATAATAATAATAATAATAATAATAATAATAATAATAATAATAATAATAATAATAATAATAATAATAATAATAATAATAATAATAATAATAATAATAATAATAATAATAATAATAATAATAATAATAATAATAATAATAATAATAATAATAAATAATAATACAAATCAACAATAATAAAAGAAATAATAGAGAAAGCAGTCATTCACTGGCTTTTGCCAATGAATGTAGGGTGACCTAGGTCGTTTTTGGCTGGTTTATTATAAGGAAGGAGTCATTCACTGGAAATGTAGGGTGACCTAGGTCGATTATTGTTTGCACTAATTACAGACCAAATATAAAGGAAGCTATACATAAAACGCCATTTTGGTTGGATTAAGTCGTCGGATGGCTTCTTTGATAATAATACTAGGCATATTAATTATATAAATAATAGCAACAATAATTAATAATAATTTAAGAAATAATAGAGAAAGTAGTCATTCGCTGACTTTTGGTTATGAATATAGGGTGACCTAGGTCGTTTTTGGCTGGTTTGTTGGGAGGAAAGAGTCATTCACTGAAAATGTAGGGTGGCCTAGGCCGATTATTGTTTGCACTAATTAAAGGGCAAATATAAAGAAAGGAACACATAAAACGCTATTTTGGCTGGATTAAATTGTCGGCAGGCTTCTTTGTTAAATAACAAAGAAGCAGGCGCAGGCTGAACAAATATATGTTATGGGTCGAAATTGAACTAAGTAAAGCGGAAATTCATTTGTCCTTTTACGAAGAAGCCAGTAAAAAACCTTCAATGTATTTGCAGCTTAAAAATGCATTTCGCAAAAGAATGTAGGGTGACCTAGACCGACTTTTGACTGGTCGGTTGTGCTGACAAAAGGAGCAACCAGAGTGAAAATTATGGTGATAGTAATAATAATAATAATTATAAATATAATAATAGTAAAAATATAATATAATATTATATATTATAATCATAATAATATAAATAATAATAAATAATAAAAATTATTAATAATAATAGTAATAGAATGTGGAGCTTTTTTGATGCGATTGCCTGTATTATTGTATTATGGGCCTACCTTGTCCACTATCACTGTCAAAAGGTAAATCTTGGGTACATCAATCAGAGATGGGAACCTGTTATCAATAAAATTGAAATGTGACAAAGTAAAATACAGAAATTATAGACCTGTTTTAATACGACTGCCTGTATTATTGTATCCTGGACCTATATTGTCAAAATATATATATTGCGTATACACGAATCAGAGATGGTAGAAGAATACAGATGGATGCAATAACGCTTGGGAACATTGATATGTTACACATGAAAACATAAATCAGAGATGGGAACCTGTTTTCAATAACACTGAATTGTGATAAAGTAAAATACAGAAAATGTGGAGCTATTTTGTTGCTACTGTCTGTATTATTGTATTATGGACGTAGCTTTCCAATTATCATGGGAAAATAATACAGTTGGATTCAATAACGCTTGTGACAAATGACAGCAAAAGTTTGTTTAAAAAAATAGTTTCTTATATGTTTCCTTATACAAGGCCATCCGAAGGTTGTCATGGCATGGATTTTCAACAATTTTTACAATTTCGAATACATTTTCTTTCAAAATTTTGAATTTGAAAGTTGGTTTGACAGTTTATTGTAACAGCATCTATATTGATGCGGCTATCTCTGTCATTTTATCATGGTCAATCGAAGTCTATATATTTTCGAACTTGTGAACCCTAAACATTTATATACAAGACGACAACTTTTGTTCGATGAAATGTTGCAATTATTTTTTGGTTTTGCGCGCCTTTTTAATCATCGTTGAGAATGATTTTAAATTGGAAAGGGTAAAGGTATATAAAACTTACTTAGTTCGATTTTGGCCCTACGCTCCTTTGTTCTTCTCCGAAGAAGTCAGTCGATGACTTAAGGCAGTCAAAAAGCGTTTTATATATTCTCACCTTAACTATTTTATTGAACTCGGTTTGTACCTGATATGATAGAAGTATGATTTTCTCGAAAGTTTTAATTAGACCTTTGACATTAAAAAGTTCTGCAGTAAAATATTTTTTTGACCGGGATACATCAACACTTTTATTTCCTTGCTACAGAAAATAAAATATAAATTTGAGACCTGTTACTTCAACCATTTTTTGCAATGATTAAAATGACAATCTATTAGGGATCACCAGTCCGTTTACGGCCTTTGGCATAAATAGCAACGTTTGGCAAAATATATGTGTAATTACATGCAAATCAATAATTGATAAACGTTACTGAAATACAGCCCTTGCTTTGAGGGTGATTCTTTAGTAAGCCGTAAATAGTGTTGACAGAAATTACTTTAAACAGATTCGCAATAATTGCAAATAAGTGGTTGCCGAAACATCACTGCTTAAGCAAACGAAATAGAAAACTTGAGGTTTGCCATACATAATGTTATTTTGACAAGTGGCAACACCACTTATAGTGAAATGGCTAAAAAGTAACCAAACCATAAAGTTCGAAACAGAATAAATGCTCGCAAAATAGTCAATTTTAATTCCGAGATCTACGCCATTTAAAATGGCTGCATTGTAGGGATCGCTAGTCTGATTTTTTACTTTGGCGTAACTAGCAAGAGTTGTCACATTACAAAAATTTGTTTACTTGCAAATCGATCCTTGATGATATTTTGACAAGTGGTAACGCCACCGGTTTTCTCTGCTATAGATTTTTCATGGCGGTATTATAGGGAGCGCTAATTTGATTTTTGACTTTAGTATAACTAGCATGGGCTGGCACAATACAAAAAATTGTATTTACTTGCAAATCGATATTTATATAAAATTTGACTGAAATACAACATTTGCTTAAGGGTGATCCTTTAAGTTGCCGAAAACAGGTTTGGCATGATATTACTTTTTAATATTTCAAAAATATTCGCAACAATTACAAATAAATGGTTTGTCAAAATTAATTTTTTTGCACCTGCAATTGATAACTTAAAGGTTGCCATACATAATGTAATTTTGACAAGTGTAGAGATAGCTAGTTCGATTTTTAATTTGGCATAACTAGCCTAACTTTGGCATATCTAACCAAATGTCTTCTTATCAAAGAGCTCAATTCAATAGAAAAATAATTCCAGACCTGGATTCTGTGAGTTTTTTAAAAGGGGATTTTTTTCACCGAAAATAACGTCAGAATGGGGTCTTTGAATATTTTTTCTATGGAAAAAAATCCACCGATTTGTAATCTGGAAATATTTTCTATAAAAAAAATCTCAAGGTCTTTTTCTAGAGGACTAGAGTGCCTAAATTTATAAATAATTCAATAGAAAAAAATTCCAGATATGGGGTCTTTTTTTTGGTGGGGGGGATTTTTTCACCCAAAAAAAAAAAAAACGTCAAAATGTGGTCCTTGAATATATTTTCTATGGAAAAAGAATCCATCGATTTGAAATTTGGAAATGTTTTCTATAAAAAAAATAGTTTGTTTCGAGCGGCATTGTAGGGATCGCTAGTCCGATTTTTGACTTTGGCATAACTTGCATTACTGCGGCCATTTTGGCATAACTAACTAAATGTCTTCTTATCAAAGAGCTCAAGGTCTTCTTCCAGAGGTCTAGATTGCCTAAATTTATAAACAATTCTATAGAAAAATAATTCCAGACCTGGATTCTGTGTATTTTTTAATAGGGAATTTTTTTGACCGAAAAAAAACGT